GGTGTGCATTGTTTTTGTTCAGTTCACTGGGCAGCCGGTTTTGATTGGCGGTACGATGGGAACATGCAGCTACGTACTAACCGGTACCGATCAAGGCATGCAAGAAACGTTTGGGACTACGTGTCACGGCGCGGTAATGACCATTATTGCTTTATTTTCGTTCTACAGTGCGGCAAAGACAGCGAAATAATTGTAAACGACTTTTTAAATGTTACCGCGACTTACTTTCTAAATGTTATAACGTACAGTGCACGTGTCCTTCGATTTACGAATGTAATTCGTACTCTGAAAACCATTCCTAGCATAAAACTAGGCAAATCTAAAATAAAATTTTGATTAAATGAATTTATTAAATTAATTTAATTCAGTACGAAAATTCTGATTTTCAACTCGCAGAAAATCATTCAGTATTTTCCAAAATAATTAATGTTCAATCGTAACACTAGTAAGAATAATGTTAGTTCTTTACAATAGTTATTACCTCTTAGCTAATCAAATCGCTGCTGAACTGCTAAATACAACGTTTATATTGTTGTGCAACAGTTATTGTAGTTACAGTATGAACAAGAATTTACTTAGGCACAGAATGAATGATCATCTTTAAGACCGTAGTTATTTACATATGACAATCATAAAGAATTAAGGTAAAGAACCAGTGCAAGGTGTTCTAAATATTAATGGTCAAATTAAGAAACTGAAAGCTTGAATATTTCCAAAAACAAGTTGATATTTATATATTAAATGAATCGATATGGTGGTTATAATTGGCGTGAGAAAGATGATGTCGACGAGAGTTTTATATCGTCAACATCTAGAGAGATATTGCTGATTGTCATTGTAAAACTGCGCCATAGCGATTTCAGATTCTTTAGAGATTATTTCTATGGAAAGAGTCCATCAAAGTGGATGAACAGCGGAACACGACGCTGCTAGAAAGTACAAAAATTTCAAGAGCAGCGTATCATGTCCCTAGCAGTTAGAGGGTTCCAGCTGAACTGATTTCGTACTCCCCGTGACTGCAGTAAGAAATAAGGAGGAATGACATTACGATTATGAATGATATATTGACTGATAATATAATTCAGTAAATGAAATGGACTACGTTTATTATACAAATGTTGTAATGCATAAATGAAATGATCTGTTATAACTCATATAGTGAATTATAATCTTAAAGTCTCGCAAATATACTTAACTTATTTTGCACCATATTTGCAGAATCTTAATGAGAATGCAATTGTTTAAATTTTAAGCATTAATATTTGCTGTTGTAGCATCTTAAAAGCAAACGTCTGATTTTGATGCTTTGTTATCGTTGTTAATAATCTGTCTGAATAATCGTTCACAGATATAAAACATGTGCTGGGCAGTTGAGTTCATTACATCTTCATACCGTCGAACTGACTAGACCGGGACTCATCGAAGAGCGGGTACCACTTAACACCGTGCGGCCCAGTGGACTTATGTTCAATATACAGATTTTGGCCAGCGTCTGCTTTGTGGATCTTTTCTGATTTTGATTTTTGCTTTAATACTGCAGTAGCTGTCTTTTAGCGCGTGTTCAAATTTGATGTGATGTAATGTTGCAGTACATTACATAATTATTTGTCAGCTTAGCTAACGTACGCTTAAGTGTAATACGTTTCCTCCGGTAGAACGTCATTCCAAGGTAGAAGGCTCTTATTATGCAGATTCAGACGCTATCCTAGATGAGCCATAATCCTACCATTCAGCTTCTTAGACATTTCCACAGAAAATGGTTATGCTACAACGGTAAAGAATGCGTAAGTTTAACTTTGAAATTTATAGCATATTTAGAATATTTTACTTTAAACTGACCTTGCATTTCTCCTCGTTACAGGGTCGCTCAATGTCGAGAGCAAAGTCGCGAAGGAATTTGGATTTCCAGGATGTTCTGGACGCCCTGGCCGCGCAAGGCATATCGATTCGGGTTGCTTCACCGAAACTTGTCATGGAAGAAGTACGTTGTTCTAAGAATCAAGTACCAATAAGCGACCATCTATGATCGTTTTGTTTCAGGCTCCGGAGTCGTACAAAAACGTTACCGACGTTGTGAACACTTGCCACGAAGCAGGCATCAGCAAAAAGTGCATCAAGCTCAGGCCCATAGCCGTTATTAAAGGATAGCTGCGCTTTTATAAATTTATCAGTATGCAGTTTTGATCCAATTTGACTCCAATATTTATGCTTCGTTTTGAAGTCTCCCACTGTTAGTTTATTTATCACTTTGAGCAACAGTAATACTAAAAAACAACAACAATTTAAATTTACATCAACTGATTATGGGTTTGGCATTACAACAGCTTTTGAACAAACGCAAACCAAACGTGTTCTGCAAATGGTCTTATGTCTGATAATACGACGTAGTCAACCGAGAAAAAGAACATCGAATTTTCGGTTGTAAGGTATGCTATACGTCAAGAGTACTCATTCGACTATGCAAGGTTCTTTAACAGCGCTAGCACCATCAAATCAGAACTTGTTGCGCAGTTGCGTGAAAACGGCATGCTATAAAAGATAGGCTTTATTAGTCATCTACTTCGACAGAAATTCTGTTAGTCCAATCTACATAATGAAAATAAATAGCGAAATGTTTGGTGACATTTGCAGGATATTTCGTTTAATTACAATTATAATCACAAATTACCGAAATCATAGCTACATGAATTATTGGTTCTCAAAACAAATTTCAAGTTTCTTACTATGGAACTCTATCGTTATTTGTTTTGCCTCACACTTTCCGTAAACCTATGCTCAGATTTCTCAGAGAATAAGTCATCGAAAACAGACTTAAGTAAGTAACAGATTCCAGTTTAATGTCTCTCTGGTCCATTGGTCCAGCGATGGTTAATTCTTGCAATGTGTCCTACCCATGGTCATTTTAAGTGATTCACTCAGGCAATGTCATCGCAAACATGCTTGTGCTCTAACCTATTCATTCACGTTCTCATCTTTTCTTTATATTCTGAACACTTATTGCCATGCTGTGCTGTGTCGTCTGCAGTTTATGAACAGATTTCAGACGTAGACTTCACGCTTCGCATCCACAGATTAGCACTGGTAGGAGGAGTATTTTCAGTGTTCCAAAACTTTTTCATACCATTTTTATTCTTTTGAATATTAAAAGTCTATTAATCTAAAAATTACGTCTACTTGGTCAGGTCATCTCAATGTAAAGAAACTCTCTTACGGATTATATATGTTTGAGTGTCCTAACCGTGGGAAGTGTTCAAATGATTGTGATGAAACCTCCAAACGCTGCTCATTCCACATGCTCCTTCCAGATGGAAAAAGATATTGGTCGTACGATATTAACCGAGTTTGAGAGTCATTAGGAGAATACCGATTTAACGCGAATTCAAGCTCATGATTTTTCAGCAGCTGTTACTGCTTATGCGTGAAGCATAGATCTGGGTGTTAGCAGGTGTTTAATTTGTCCTAAACCCAGATTTTATCGTTTCCTTATCTCCAAGTTATTCACTGGGTTATCTGACACGTTGATGACTACCGCAAGAAATTGCAGTGAAAAAATGATAGAGAATATTTCTTAACCTAGATCAAGCACAGGGAAACTCGTTTGAAGAGAATCAGAGAGGGAATATAAACATTTCAGCAGCTGAAGCCGCAAAAGCTGTAAAAGGCTAGAAAAACGGTAAGGCTGTTGAAATCTATGAAATTCACCCCTGCGAATGCTACGCAGAAGGTACGGTGGGGCTAATATGTGACTGTCAAACTGCTGTAATTACGGCAAAGACACAAGCAGATCGGATAAGAGGCGCTGAAGTAACCATTTTCAAGATGGCAGAGGAAGCTCACAGGCACAGATACAATTAACCTGGGATTACCTTCCTAAGTCTTCTGGGAAAAATCTAAAAAGGGGGCTAGAACGAGGGTTCTGCGGATATCTGCCTCGAGGATACGAGAAGAGCAATGTGGCGTCAGTTCAGGAAAGGCACCTCTGACCAGATCTTCGCCTTAGACCAGATTGTTAAGATATTGTGGGAGTTCGCTCATCTAGTTTACATGTGCTTTTTTGACCCGGAGAACGCCAATGACGGGATCCCGCGTAACAAGCTCTGGGTGTGCCAGCAGAATTACGGGATCGACGATAAGCTGCTACCATTTACCAGGGTTGGGAGCAGATGTTGCAGGAATCAATGGCGTTATAAGTTGAGAAACATTTCGACGTCGGTACTGGGTTTTATTCCTTACGTGCTATAATTATACGTGTCGTGCGACCAACCGACGATCGTCATACAGAAACAAAAACAAGAAGGACGTCAACCCACAGAGCATAAGTTTACTTCTAAAACGTATCATTATTATGCTATCAAGAATACAAGAGAAACAAATCAGGGATAACGATAGATATCCGGTTGATTAAACGAGCACTTTACTAGACTTTGGTAAAAGTAGTGCTCACAACTGTTCTTCATCAATTCAGGAGAGTTTTGCAAAAAAGGTTAAAACTTGCTGTCAGTTTATCAAATAAATACGTGCATTATACTGCGAAATAAGAGATATTAAATATATAGTAAACGCATTTAGCTTTAAATCATTTTAATACGTCTTTTGATTGCATTTGCTACACCATACCCAAAATAACGACAAAATCTTACCTATTAATCCACTTAAGTAAAGTTGTTATTAAAAACGTTAGCAGAAATCAAGGTAGTTTATATTCTGTTACCTGTTGATAAACGAGGATGTTGAACAACCAGCCATAGAGATCCATTTCCTGCTTGAAAGAAATAACGTTTCCATAAAACGGTTTGTTCTTCGTTCGTCTGAAGTCGTCTTCCGTACACATAAACGTCAAGCAAAACCTAAACATAATTTTAGTGTAAGTGAAAAGAAAAGAGTAGAAAATGAAACAACGGCAGAAATACGAAACTAGCAGTTCACAGCAAATCGATGTTTATTGCTTTTGTTCGGCCTACCGTAGTGACGCGGTTTTCCATCTATGCACTGTAGGTGCTAAAAGGCCATGGAGCTATAGCTTGCTCAAATGGTTCTCTACGCTATTAGAAGCAAGTAAACGGTGCTACGAAGCCATTTAAATCCGAACAATTGACAGAAAATAGATATTCTAAGAAGGGTTATGCATTTCTGGCTTGCATGTGCTTCATGGACCTAGAGAAAGAGTATAACCGAATCCGACGCAACAATCCAAGGGGGTGCCTGCAGACATATAGGATCGATGGACCGCTACTAAGGGCCATCCAATCACTATAGCTGAGATTAGTGCTGCATCAGA